TTTTTTTTTTTTTGACAGTGTCTCAACTTTGTTGCCCAGGCTGGAGTGCAATGGTGCCATCTTGACTCACTGCAACCTCCACCTCCCAGGTTCAAGCAATTCTCCTGCCTCAGCCTCCCGAGTAGCTGGGATTACAGGCACACGCCACCATGCCAGGTTAAGTTTTGTATTTTTAGTAGAGACGGGGTTTCATCATGTTGACCAGGCTCCTCTCAAACTCCTGACCGCAGATGATCCACTCACATTGGACTCCTAAAGTGTTAGGGGCTGGGCGTGGTGGCTCATGCCTGTAATCCCAGCACTTTGGGAGACCGAGGCGGGTGGATCACTAGAGATTAGGAGTTTGAGACCAGCCTGGTCAACATGGTGGGACCCCATCTTTACTAAAAATACAAAAAGTAGCTGGGTGTGGTGGTGGGTGCCTGTAATCCCAGCTACTTGGGAGGCTGAGGCAGGAGAATCGCTTGAACCCAGAGGCAGAGATTGCAGTCAGCTGAGATCATACCACTGTACTGCAGCCTGGGCGACAGAGTGAGACCCTATGTCAAAAAAAAAAAAAAAAAAAGTGCTAGGATTATGGGCATGAGCCACCTCACCTGGCCAGAGAGTCCCTTCTTGACCCTTGATCAGGAAAGCCCACGGGCCTTATGCAAACCTAGCGTTTTCCTGTTTATTTGCTCATCATCTACTTCCTACTGGGTCACCAGCTCTAAGAGAGCAGGGACTCCAGGACTCCAAATCCTCAGGACCTAGAATTGTGCCTGGCGCACGACTCTCCAATAAATGAATCATGAGGAATGTGTAAGTGAGAGCTGGGACCTGTCCCACGTGATCTGCTGCAAGAGGTGCTGTTTCCCCCCTGGAGTGTCTTGACTGGCAGAACCCAGACCTTTGCTGAGCATCCCTGGCTGCTTCCAGGCCAGGATGGGAAGTCACCAGCTCAGAGTGGAGTGGCATGAAAGAGCTTTAAAAGGCTCAGATGGCAGGATGGCTTTTGGGATATAAGCACCTGAAGCCCGATCTCACCATCTACACCCTGTGGGACTTGGAAATGTTCCTTAATAAGCCTCTGAGCATCAGTCGGCCCCTCCCAACAGCGGTTCCGCCTCTCAGCCCTGTTGAGGTTTAACGCAATATTGCATTTCATGACGTCATGGCAGCTGATCCTGCCCTGATGTTTAACAAATGGCTAAAGCTTTTATTGCTGTTACTGTTATTGAGGCTGAGGTGTGTGAAGGTGGGGAGGAGCCCTCGGAGAAGCCTCATTTTCCAAGGTACAGGAGGCAGGAGATGCTGGCTGGCTTCAGGGAGGACAGTCTGTGTCCTATGTTCAGGGCATAGACAAGCACGCTTCTGACCTGACCCAAAGCCTCCTGGAGGCAACCCATGCAGCAACGCCTGGACGCTCCCCACTCTTTCTGCACTGGTAGGCGACTTGCAGGACAGCAGGTCTTTCCCATGGCCCTGTGTCCCTAAGAGTCCCTGCCCTGGTCATCAGGGGACCCCTAGAGGGTGCTGGTCCATTCCAATAGGACCCTACCCACGTCTCATGCCTGGCACCATCACCAGTTCAATTACTCTATTTGTCTTGTCCCTGTTAGGAAGCGGGCAACACTACTGCAAGGCGCCAGACCCAACAGACCCCAGCCCGGAGGATGCGCAGCAGAGGAGGTGCACTGGCAAGAGAGATGTGACCAGAAGGAGATGCTGTCTGCTGCCAGTCCAGCAAGCTAGCACGAAGGGCAAGGACAGCCATGGTGAGGACAGTGATGGGCGTGGTTGGAGAAGGAGCCCTCAAGGAGGGCCACTGAGCTGAGATCTAAACTGTGAAAACTGGCCGGGTGCGGTGGCTCATGCCTGTAATCCCAGCACTTTGGGAGGTTGAGGCAGGTGGATCACCTGAGGTCAGGAGTTCAAGACCAGTCTGGACAACATGGTGACATCCCATATCTACCAAAAATATAAAAATTAGCCAGGCACGGTGGCTCACACCTGTAATCCCAGTACTTTGGGAGGCCGAGGTGAGAGGATCACCTGAGACCAGCCTGGTCAACATGGTGAAACCCCATCTCTACTAAAAATACAAAAATTAGCCAGGCATGGTGGTGCATGCCTGTAATCCCAGCTACTCGGGAGGCTGAGGCAGGAGAATCGCTTGGACCTGGGAGGCAAAGGTTGTAGTGAGCCAAGATCGCACCACTGTACTCCAGCCTGGGCAGTAAGAGTGAAAGTCCAGCTCAGAAAATAAATAAATAAATAAAAATTAGCCGGGTGTGATGGCGTGCATCTGTAGTCCCAGCTATTCAGAGGCAGGAGAATTGCTTGAACCCAAGAGACAGAAGTTGCAGGGAGCCAAGATTAAGCTATTGCATCTTTTTTTAATTAATAAAATTAAATTTATTAAATAAATAATAAATAGATAAATAAACCAACTGTGAAAACCAGGCAGCCACGCAACCCTAGGGAGGTGTGGCAGGCAGAGGGAGCTGCCAGGGAACAGCTGTGAGCTTGGCTTGTTTGCAGGAAGGAAAGGAGCCAGCGTGGCCCGAGCACCGAGGACCATGGGCAGAAAGATCCAAAGTGAGACCTGTGAGGCAGGTGGGAGCCAAACAGTCAGGGCGCATTCTGGCCAGAGCGGTAGCCTGGATTTCACCCTCCAGAACAGGAGTCACAGGAGGGATTCTAGTGGCCACTGACCCTTCAGACGGGAGGGTTTCACACCTGTCATCACAAGCCCTTTCTTGCCGTTCGATTTGCTTCGACAATGAAGAACTGATTAGAAGTTTTAATTATTCCTAGAAACTTTGAGGGCTTGGAGCCGTGTGCAAAGGCCTAGCTTAAATGTTTTACAATAATGGTCTGTTAACAAATTCCAGACTTAATTTATCCAAGAACTTGTTAAAATTCCCTCTGTGCAGCCACAAAGGAACGCACTTTTGAAGTCATTTACTTACCAATAAATTACAATGGTCTGAAATCATTAGCAGCAAAGTAAATTGTGTTAATTGATCTGAACTTCGTTACGACCCAGGGACTCCGATTTTGTGCAACTGCACTTTCTAAAGGCCTAAAATAACAAATTAATCTCTTTTGAGTCCTGTCATCTTTGGATGGGTCCTTTCTCAGAGAGACCAGGAAGGAACAAGAATCAGTGGTGGGTTAGGGCTTGCTGCAGGGCCCGGGACCTGCAAAGAAATACTTCAGTTTTGGGGTGGGGGTCTAGTCCCAGGTTACTCTTTCCATTATGGGGGAAATGGCAGACCTCAGAGAACCCAATGTCTGTTTCTGGTCCTGGGCTATAGTCACATGCTTGATAATCATGGACTCACCAGTTCTATCTGTTTCATGCACTTTTTTGTAGGTACAGTATATATGACAATAAAAACAAGAGCAAACACAAAAGTAAAAATATACTTAAAAATAATTAGAGAGGTCTTGTCTGGTGACCCTGATTCTCAGATGGCCTCCTGGGAAAGCCCCGCTGTCAGCTCTGTGAAAACCTCTCTCTCTGGGCTTTTCCCTGATGCTGCCAGAGTCTGACACCTGTGCCCAGTCTCTCCGGGGGTGGGCAAAGGTGCCAGTCCTTTTGAAAGCAGAACCAAAAGGGACCAGGGCTGTGCTTTGGGACACCTCTAAGGTTCTCTCCGAAATTAATGCTGTCTGGTGGGAGATGGAACACTGGCTGGCTGTCAGCCAACTGCCCACCCCAAGTATGTTAGTGGGTGGGGGCACCTCCAGCCGTAGCCCTCATGAACCACCCTTTGAGGTGCAGGCGGCCAGGCCAGACTGTCTCAAATCAGAGATGCCAGCCCAAGGGGCCACTGCAGGGTCTCTGGCCCTTCATCCTGAAGAGCCAGCAGGGCCTGGTTATACTGCGGTGGGTAGATGAGTGCAGGGCCCCAGTACGCATCCAAACTGCCCCAGCCACGGCCCGCACCCCTGCTCTGACCCTGTGGAACATGCTGCTCTGTCTGCCTGGAATTTTCCCTCCTCTTATCTCACTTCTTCCATGTAAGAGGCTCAGGATCAGCCCTGGCCAGGGACTCACAGCGGCAGCAGGATCTGGGTGACCCAGAGCTGTGCATGAATCCTCTTAGAGCTGCCTTGGTTGGGAGGGCAGTGTTGGGGGCTTATGTCCTATAGACCCCTTCACCCCTGCCTCCGGGAGATGCAAGCCCTGGGGCAGCCCGTACGGACAAACAGGCAATGTTGAAGTTAAGGGTGGAGATTTCCAGGAAAAGGATCAAACTCAGGGCTTGGCCCTCAAATTCTTCTTTCTGGAGCGAGCGCCATGTGATCCTACCAAGCCAGGGTATGCAAAGGGCTTTAAAATCCCATCTGCACACAACCCCGCCTTGTGCAGCCAGCAAGAGGGAGGCTGATCAAACAAGCGGAGGCCAGGGCTGAAGCCACACAGCCAGGAGGGCAGCCGGGGTTTGAGGCTATCACAACAGTTTATCTTGGCAGCATTGATGGAGGGGCCTCGGGAGGTAACTGTGAAATTTACAAGTGGAGGATGATTTGCATCTGAGCAAGCCCTCCTAGTATTATTCCTAGGAATAAAAGGAACATCGAGGCAAGGGCTTCGGGGGTGCATCCAGAGGCCTCGTCCAGCCTCCCTGTCAATATCACTAGGGCAGAGAATTTATTTCCTAGAATGTGGAGCAAGCCTTGAAGGAGGCACCCACAGGTGCTGAGCGACAGGGGTCGAGGGAAGGATATCTGGGGCCAGCGGAGACAACCACTGCTGGCCAGAACTGCAGGCCTGCACAGAATGACATACACCATGTGTCAAGGTGTCAAGCCACCAGCGCCGACTGCTGTCACGAAGAGGGTCTGTCTCCCGGGTCCCCAAGCACCCCACAGTCTAACTCTGCTCCCTCATTTGAAAGTGACACGAAAATGTCATAGGAAAATCGCCTTGAGGACATCTGCTCCTCAACTTCTGAACAGATGCAGGGGACATGTGGGGAACCCTGCCACGGTGATCGGGGTGTGTAGAGTCCCCAGGAAGAGGGCACCACCCACCCCTACTGGGGCACCCAGTCCTTGGTAGACCTGAGGACAGGCACAATGCCCAGCCCAGTGCCCAGGGAAGCCCTGGCTCTGCCAGGAGGAAGGGGAAGGACCACAACATCCTGACCCTGTCTGCCCTCGAGAGAGGAGCCTGGGCAAGTCTCTTCTCCAGAAGGGGAAAATATGATGCCACTACAATTCCCTCCCCAGCCAAGCCCTCCTCTCTCGGAGGAAGCAAATGCTAATGGCAGCACTTAAAATGGAAAGGGAATCTATTTATCCTTAACTGTCTCTGGCTGCACAAAATTCTGAGAAGCGATTGAAGGTAAATTGCTTGGTTTTCAATTTAAAGCTGTACTTATCCAAGCACGATCAGTCTTCCCTGAGTGAGGCAGAAAATAAGACGCACCTGATGCGGGGTTGCCCTGGTGCCCAATAACACGGTGGGATCGCACCCCCATTTCATTACAGAGTGCGCTTTAAGCAAGTTTATTGATATGATAAATTGCTCCATCACTTCCCTTTGGGTGAATCTTATGCCTGGGGCTGTTGGCCCCGCTCCAGGGGCAGGTACCACTGGCAGTGGGCAGAGGTCCATCTGGCCATGCCTGCCAGGGACCCGGTGGTGACCCTGGGGTTGCCCGGCAGGGGAGGGAACCACATGGGCCACTGTGGCGGGGGCTGCTCAGATCGCCGTGGGCTGGAGCTGGGGCGGCCGTGCTGCACAGGGCCCAAGTCCAAGGTCTGGAGTCTGTGAGACCTGGGACCCGCTTTGTGGCCTTGGGCACGCCAAGATCGTCAGTGACCTCAACTGTAAAATGGAGGTGGTGATAGCAATGGTCAGGGTTTAGATCAGATGATCTTGGTGTTGGACGTGGTGAGGGCTTAGATAAATGATGCATGCAGAGGCGTGAGTATGGGGTGACTGAAGCCCAGAGCCTCCTGGGCCCCTGGGGCCATCTCCACTCTGTGGCAGAGCACAGGGTTCCAGACTGCAGAGCCACCTCTCACCAGACCTGGCAGACCTGGGGTCCCTGGCAGGGCCACACCAGTGTGGGTGCTGGACGGCAGTGAGAACTGGGGTGGGGCTGCCTGGCCACGGGGGCTTGTCCTGGGGTAGGGTTTTTCCTGGCTGAGAGGCAGAGAGAGGTTTTGCCAATGGTCAGGGCCTGTGACTTTCTGTAGGATCTCAGCCCTGGGGTCTAGTTCCACAGCCCCGGAACAGCACCCTGGGCCACTGTCAGGGCAGTGCAGTGCCCACCTGCACAGCGGAGACTGCCGTACACACTTGAAGGAGGAATGAATGACCAGGGCCAGGCACCGATGGGGGATCAAGGACCTGCTCCCTTAGAAGCTGCAGTTGCTGTCTGGACTGAGCGAGGAGGGTTCTTGGGAGGCACCTGGTGCTTTATGTTTCCCTCCAGGAAAAGCCATTTTTATCTCTGAGCCTGACCTCCCAGGTCTGCTCTCTGGGGGCTTCTCTCTTCCCCATGACCCTCCCATGGGGAAGATGCACCTCCGGGTCCCTGCCAGCCTGAGACATGACACAGCAGACTCTGGGTGCAGCAGGAGAGCTTCCTGCAGAAGCCGGGTGCTCGGGGGAGCCCAGGTGTCTGCAGCCCATCGGAGGTTCTCATCTCTAAACACTTCATATGAAGATAAATGGATCTAAAAGGAGCATATCCCCCTCAACCATGTAAACACGAGGCGGCAGACGAGTAAGTAACATTAGGCCTGACACGGGGAAGCTGCAAGGTATTACTCACCGTGATAAGTTTAATGTATAATTTAGAAACATATCATCAAAATGGGAAAAAAGGGAAGAACCTCTTAAATAACTCTGAAAGATATTCAGCTCTGAAATCACAGGCAGTTAGAGTGGAGGGCGTGCTGCCGACTCACCGCACATGCAGGCTCCGCACCCCTGGTGATTGGATTTAGATGGATCTGTGAGCAAAGCCCTTTAGGGAGGAAAGATTCACCCTTGCCGGAAGTGGGGAAAGAGTAGGGGTCTACGGTGGGGGTATCTGTCTGGCCGGGGCTCTGCCGGGCACAGCAGGGCCACCTGGAGGAGCCGGGCTGCATGGGTGGATGGGGTCAGCTCCAGCAGACTCTAAATTCTCCCTGGCGGCTGGGTGGGCCCCCACCTCCTGTCACAGAGGGCTCTTCCCTCTCACCTGGTCTGGGATGGGGGTGGGGAAGGGAAGGTATGCAGACAGACAGAGTGGCCCAGGGATAGGAACAATTCTAGGCTTGTATACCCCTCTCCTCCTGGGGGAGCTGGTGGTGAGTGCAGGGGTCCCGGGGGCGGGGTGGTCGGGGACATCACAGACTCCTGCCCTGATGTATCTGGGCCATGTGGGGTGGATCAACTACTCCCCCAGCCACAAGGTGGGGATGCCCCATCCACGCTGCTGCTGTGCTTCTCTGCCCACCCCACGGTGAGGGGCACCTCAGTTCCACCATAGCCACCATGTGAGCCACGTAACCCCTGCATCATGTGGGACCCCTCTGAACCCCTCCTGTCTTCCTGGTCACATCTGAGGGCTATCGACAGTCCCCCACCCCTGATCCTTGATGTGGTGACGACCCGGTG